AAAATAAAATAAAATAAACACAAATCAGGGAAAAGCCAGTGCAAGCTGAGTGGAGTGAGGTGACATATATCATTACAAGACATTCAAAATTGTGGATGCCTAATGAAAATCGCAAAGGAGATATTCAATTCTTATCCATGGAGGAAAATTTTGAAAGTGTGATGTAATTAAATGTATTAAACATGATCTGAAAAATCTGTATTATGTTAAATGTTTTTAAAACCTGACTTTTAATATCATTTTTTTTTCTCCAAAGTCATTTATGTAGGGATTACACTGTACCAAATATTGTTCTAAGGTCTTTTTTGGTGACTGTTATATTTATAGGCGATTATTAGTGCACATACTCAAGCCAGAATTCTGAGTTTAGAATCTCAAGCTCTGAGTCTTACTTGGCCTGTGACTATGAGCAAGTAACGTAACCTTTCTGTGCCCGTTTAAAGGACATATCAAGTGTGACTACCTCATAAGAATAGTTATAAGAATTAAATAAGTTAATGTATATAAGGTACTAAGAACAGTGCCTAGTATATATAGTAACTGCTAAACAAGTGTTTGCTTTTGCTCAGTCTTTGACAATTTTTGTTGATTTTTAATTAAGAAAAGTTCCTTACTCAACTTATTAAGCTTCAATTCAAAGAAAATATAGTAAATGTTGGCGTTACCACACTTAATTTTCCATCATTTTATAGAACAATTATGTAGCTTTTCCTACTATATATAGGTATAAAATTACTCTTATGCAACATGTACCACTCATAATGAAGCACATACAGGGAACATGATTCTGTTAAATTCTTTCTGTTTTAATCCTTGCTAAATTTTCATTTCTCTCCTTCCTTAAGTGTGGCTTTGCTAGCTGAAATTATGATGTTTATTTGCAAAATAACAAGGACAGAAAGGATCGTGAATGAAAGAGTAAGAGAAAAATAGCTGTTTAACATCCTCTGAATGGTTGAAGGCTCTAATGAACTCTCTATTCATCTGATGTATACTTTGAAGTAGAAAGAAAGAGATTGTCAAGATGATGGCTGCTTAAAAACATAGAAGGAGACTTGGGAAAAGAAAGAACACATTATTACAAATACCAG